CTAAAATGTCCCTTTATGAGGGGAGGGAGCAATGAGGAAAGAAACATTGGGAGCAACATTGCTCTAGGCTACAAAAGAGAGTCCACACTTTCGGACAGGGAGTTTACCTGCAGGTACAGTGCCCAGCAGTTTCATGCATCGCCTCTTTTAATCCCCCAAATAGTCATTTATGAATGAGGAAACTGAACTGAAGTAATTTGCTCAAAGCCACACTGTTCATAGGTAACATAGCTGAGGTTTGAGACTGAGTCTATTTCCAAAACCTTGTTCTTCCCCTTAAACCAGGTTGCAAAGTCAAACTCAGTTCAGAGATCACAGAGTCATCATCTCTACACTCAGGTATTCACTTGCCACTGGAGAGCAAGAACAGGAAGATAGACTACCGACTAGCCGAACATACAACTGTGCCGTCACCTTGCCTCTAACCTGGAGGTAGACAGGGGACATCAACTCTCTGCTGCATTTTTGTCTGTTTATAGTTGCTTGAAGAGGAGCCCTTGTGAGGGAAGAAAATGAACAAGAAACAGACCCACCTACTTCACTTTGCTATTTCCTTCCTCTACCTTTCTCTGTGTTCCCCCAGGGGGATTGCCATCACTCCCAAACCCTATGCATTCCAGGGTTTCCATAGCGCTTTGCAATTTCCCCTGGGAAGAATGTCTTGTGGTTAGAGAACTCCACAATACAATTTTGGTTTTGGTTTTGTTTTTTAAATATTTTATTTTATATAATTCTTACATCATTTTTCATTTTTGCACAATGTATGCATTTTCATTTTGGTTATATTCCCCATACAATTGCACCCCCCCCCTTATTTTGACCCTAGTCCTTCCTCTCCCCGCCCCTCCCCCCACCCCATAGTGTGTCTCTGGTTTATAGTTGCTTGTTGATTTTGATTTTCACTTTGTATTAATTAGTCTTTTTCCTGGTCCCTTATTTAGGTTTTCTAAATTCCTGCTATGAGTACAATACAATTTTGAACTGAGCACAGGACTGGAAGGCCATAGGTATCTAAATAGTTACTCTGACATTCTCTCCTTAGGGACCACCAGCAAGCACTGTTGAATGGCTCCAGGTGGGGTCAAGCTCCAGTTCATTCTGGAAGAAGGTGGGAGGGGACTTCATTAGAGGTCTTCACCGTCAATATCCCCTCCTCTGCAGGGGGTGTGTGTTTCCTTGCTGGGTATAGATAAACTTCTGGTTGAAAACAGAGAGATTTGAGGAACTATACAAAAGCTCCACTTCCCTACACATTTGCAAAATCTATATCCAAAGAAGTCTTTCAATACTTGACTTCTCACTATGTTAACATTTCTCCTGGGTGGGAAATATTAGCAGATTTAATCCAACGATGCCATTATCAACACACACATACAGAGGAAAAGGGAAAAGGCAATGAACGAACAGGTATTGATTGAGGCCCTCTCATAGGAAGCTGGTGCTTTCAATGAGGTGTGTCATTTATTCTTAACAAAACCTCAGTATCATTCTGATTTTACATATGAGGAAAATGAGGCATGGAAAAACTAACTTGTTTAAATCACCACAGCTGGCTAGGGTGATTCTAAACATCATGCTCTTCAGAGGAGTTCTGGGTCAGTTCCTGGGGAAGCTTTGTAGCAAAGGTTCCTGAGCAGCAGCGGGAGGCAGGCCAGATAGGCAAGAAGTACACAGAAGCTTTGGAAACAACCTAAATGCCCAAAAATAGATGACTGGATCAAGAAGATGTGGTACATATACACCATGGAATATTACTCAGCATTCAAAAAAGATAAACACATGCAATTTGCAACAACATGGATGGCGCTGGAGGGATCATGTTCAGCGAAATAAGCCAGAAAGAAAAAGAAAAATACCGGATGGTCTCACTCATAGCAGGAATCTAGAAAACTTAAATAAGGGATCAGGAAAATGAATAACTATAAGAAAGTGAAAATCAAAATCAACAAAAAACTATGAACCAGAGACACTTTTTGGGGGGTGGGGGGGAGGGGAGGGATTGGGGTCAGAATGGGGGGGTTGCAATTGTATGGGGAATATAAAAATAAAATTTATTATTAAAAAAAAAAGAAGTACACAGGTCATCCTCAGAGAACCTACAAGTACCACTGCCCCCCACCACCCCCCTACCGGGGATCCAGATGCACCGTCCATTCCCAGGACTGTCTGGGTACTCCTGTTCCCCAACAGCCAAGGGGATAACATGACTTTAACTAAAGGCTAGAGGGTCTCATAGTTCTGTTTTTGTAGGGTTTCTGGTAGTGAGACACCCACGGGGAGACAAATCTGAATGAAAGTGGTACATGATGAAATGAAATGTGTTATAGCAACAAGACAGATCAGAGTCAGGAGTCCTGCCAGAAGTTTCCTTAGGCAATTCACTTCTCTTTTTGGATTCCCATTTCTTCATCCATAAAAGGAGTGGGCTACCTAGCTGAAGTTTACTTCCTCCATAAAAAAGCTCTTGGTGAATGGGGTTGGCTAACAGATTTCTTTGTATAATTGGGAGTACTTCTTCTTCCTGGGCCTTGCTGATTTCCCTGTTCCTATTTCTTCTGCATCCTTGTGAAGGACATCACAGCTAGCCAAGACGATTCTACGCAGGGCACTGCTGAATGTCCTGGTGTCTGTTTCAGCAAGTGAACAATGGAATGGAGCCTTGGAAGTTTAAGAAAATTTGTACTATAAACTCTTCTTTTTAATAAAGTGATTCTACTTGGCACAAATCATCCCTCATAAGAAACTCTGATCTTACTACTTTCCACACTTTTATTGACATGCTTTTCACATAGTTAGCTCTCATGTCCCCTGGTGTGACCTTGGGAAGCCATGTCTGTGCTGGAAACCTCGGCTGTCAGTCTGAGTCTACATCATCTTTTTGTATCTCTGTCACAGGACAGAAGTCTGGACTTATACTTCTTATCCCTTCACATCCCCTACACCAGCCTCTTTCAAATGTGTCATGTAAGAATGAAGCAAAGGAATGAAGAAAGCAATTATTAGGTGTGTCAGGCATTGGTTAAATGATGGAACTAAGATTCTAAGCAAGTCGACTCTGAACCTATATGTACAAGAACTATAATATCTTCTAGCTCCTAAACTCACTTGTTGCCTCATACTCAACCCACTGGGGGCTCCTGGTGAGACAAGACCCAGAGACCATTAACATCTGGATGTAGTTTTCTGTTTTTAGAAAAATTCCAGCAAGGACTTTCCTTTACTTCCTTTGTGTCCTGTGCAGTGCTGACTTGTGTCTTACAATGTAGACTTTCCAGATACTGCTTGAAAGTCTTCCAATTACCAGATTCCTACTGGCTGCACAGAAGATCAGCTTCTGTAAGCATTGAGTGAGATTTAAGAAGACACCCTCAGTGTAATGGTTTTTCTCACAAAGGAAATTTAGTACACATGTCCTTCAGGCCCTTCTGTCCAACGAGATTCATTCACACATATTTATCGAGCAACTCCTTGCTTCAAGGTAGTTTTGGGGCACCAGGAATACAGTGGTACACAACCCAGATGGTACAAACTTCTCCTGGAAAACCAGCCCTTCTCGTATTTTCTCATAAACCCCATATTTCCTGCTTTCTAGCCAAATTGTCACATTCCTCAGCATTTGAAATGATTATCTTCTACTTCTATGTGACTTTCTTCATGAATCCAATATCTCTACCTAGCTGCAAACTTAAGCTGTATGATGTTCTCCTTTCTGGCCAAGGGAAAGGGAATGAATATCAGTGAGCAGTGATGGCACATGGTGTTTAGACTGCTGTGCCTCATTTAATTATCACAAAAGAAAGGAATCAAATGTTATCCTCCTTTTCAATGAAATACTAGAAGGTCCCTGAGGTCCAATCACAGAGTTTGAAAAAGGCAGTTTGGAAATGGATGCCAGGTACAATGGAGAGGACTTCTTTCCTTCTTCCTCCCTGACAAGGAAACCATTCTACTGGATCCCCAGTCTCAGGGCTATGCTGGGGAGCAGACCTCATTTCCCAGGTCTAGGAGGTGCATTGTGCTGTATCTTAATTATAACACACTACTTTGTTGCCTCCTCACTACCAGGTTTTTCTTGTAGAGTCACGAGGCAGCCCCACTGTGTGCACTTACAACTTTGGAGTATTATTTCATGACTTTTAAATGTTTTCAGTCTTCAAATACTTTATATTGATTAAAAGGCATATTCTATATTAAAGAGATAGTTAGTTTAAGGAGGAAAAGAGCTGAACTGATAGGGAAAGATTCCAGAGGCAAACTTTTTTCTATCTCCTAAAGTTGAGTTGAAGGGTTGATCTTCATGCTGCCCACTCCAGATAATTTGGGGTGTAGGGAACTTGTGCCTCTGGAATCACTCTACCCCAGCTACGCTGATGGGATGGGCCCTCTGTTCAGATAACTGAAAATCTCAAATTATAGAAACAGGATCTAAGCTTGAACCACAGATGAAACACGAGAGAATGATGATGTGAACCCTTCCTTGTTGAACATGAAATCACTATATCACAGTTCTCGAGGAAGCCAGTCTCAGCTTGGGGAGGATTAATTCATTCTGACAAAAGGAGTTTTTCTAACATCTCTATTTAGTTTTGTTTCTAAAGATTGTTTTACTGGTAATGACTACAAGGAAAGTTTTATAGTGAAAAATAATTGAAAATAATAAACTTTCTTAAAATGCATTTCTAAGTTCTCTTTATATTTAAAGCACTCAGTATTTTTCATAAGAGTTCATTTTTCAGCGTGGGCAGAAGTAGGAGCTTATTTATCATTTCTAAGAAGTAATATTCTGAGGTGCCTCAGTAAATTGTGAGTTAAATGCAATCAATAGCTGACCTATTGCTGGTTCTACAGTAAGGTCGTGCTGTGTTTGCATGCTTCTGATGTAAATTGAGTGATGATATCAGCTATGAGTCACTCTAAGGATTTTACCTACTCAGAGCCTGTCCTAAGGGCTATATAAAGAAGGACATTCAAGGAACTTGTACTGACAAGAACAGAATTAATTAGGTTAAACCACTCAAGACAAGTTTAGAATGAAGTTACTTCTATTGATACTGGTCCTGCAGGTCACTACCTCTGGAGCAGTTTCCCTGCCCAGCAATGCAAGCCCAGAAGAAAATGCCATGGCATTAGCTAAAGTAAGTATTAGCACTTTAGCTCTTATCGAGCCTGATTTTTGTCTTTAAGATTTATTGTACTGACCAGTTTTACTTTGAGAAATACTAGCTGAAAACTGGTTTTTAAAACTGGTTTAGAAGGTTATTTGCTTTTAGCACTGAACTTTTACTTGCCAAAAAGCAATGTAAAAAAAGAGGTGTTGGTTTTGAAGGAGTATATTACATTGGTGAGTGAATCTGTCCCTTCTACTAAAATGCCTGGAGTTCTACTACTGGGATATATTTACATTTATCATTTAATGACAAATCTGAGATTTACACAATGGCTTGAATAATTTAATCACTTAAGAATGCCATGGTAATTAAATAATACTACTTAACTGCACTTATCTCAGTTATTTATTCACAAGTAACTTTTTTTAAAGATTTATTTATTTTTGCATACAGAGCTGGGGTACAGGCCAGAGGGGTGGGGTGCGTGTGAGAGGATTCACAGAGACAGAGTGGGGAACAGAACAGGCAGAATGACTTAAATTCACTGCTGAGGGGAACAGCAGAGAGTCAGGAGAGGTCTGCTGCGCCATGTGGGTTGCTCCCTGGTTGGCTGGGGGATCAAACTCGTGCTACAGAGGCTGTGGAAGCTTCAAAAGTTGCGTCTTAACCACTTGCACCACCAGGGAGGCCCTCACAAGTAATTTTTTAATAGAATTTTTTTCCAATTCATTTATTTCCTTAATTATGAGTTTGGATGGTCTCCCTGTTTTTCTAAGACTTTTAGCTCTGATTTTGTCAGTTGTCCATTGTGTTGTATTTTTGGATTTTCAAACAACAAAATTCCACCCCAACTTTAATAACTTATGTATTCTAACAATAATAGTTTTGTGGCTTACTGAATGACATAATGTGCTAGATGCTAAAATAGGTTTTAAAAAGTGAAGACAATTCTGAAAAGGTAGAGATATAAAGCGTTTTCAGTGGACTTGTAGGAATCAATCTTCTGAATAGTTTATGACAGGCCTTTGACAGCACTGAAAATTAAGACTGGATCAAGAAGATGTGGTATATATACACAATGGAATATTACTCAGCAATCAAAAAAGATAAACTCATGCAATTTGCAGCAAAATGGATGGAGCTGGAAAGGATCATGCTCAGCGAAATAAGCCAGAGTAAAAGAAAAATACTGGATGGTCTCACTCATAGCAGGAATTTAGAAAACCTAAATAAGGGACCAGGAAAAAGACTAATTGCAATAAAGTAAAAATCAAAATCAACAAACAACTACAGATCAGAGACACACTACAGTGGGGGGCGGGGTGAGGAAAAGAGGGATTAGGGTCAGAAAAAGGGGGTGGGAATTGTATGGGGAATATAACCAAAATGAAAATGCATACATTATGCAAAAATGAAAAATGATGTAAGAATTATATAAAATAAAATAATTCATAAAAAATTAAAAAATTAAAAAAAGAAAATTAAGACACTTTTCTCATTATAATTAATTGTTTCATACTTAGTTCAAAAGCATCTGCATACAGTGGAGTCAAATATATAGGGTGTCAACAGAAATCTTCCCCTGTGTGATAATGTGTCATTATTTTTCTAGAGGTACTTGGCAAGCTTTTATGACCTCAAGATTGACGATGTCAAAGCAACAAAAATAAAAGTCCATGGGAACATCATGGAGAATAAACTCCAGGAAATGCAGCAGTTCTTGGGGCTAAAAGTGACTGGGAAGCTCGATGACTCTACTCTGAACATGATGCGCACACCTCGATGCGGAGTGCCTGATGTTCATGATTTCAGGACATTTCCACAGAGGCCAGTGTGGAAGAAACGTGTTATCACCTACAGGTAACACTGCAGTCCCAGTGTTTTTCTACTCTACCAGAGGTCTGATTTCTAGAAATTGGAACCATTTAGATAACAGAGACCTGCATCTGGAAGTAAATAAGAAGTTTCTCTCACCTAAGGTTATCTTGATGTTAAAATTGCTTATCTCTAGAAGTGTTCCTTATCTCAAGGAGTGTTTTGTTGTCAGTCTAGGGTAGGAAAGGAGGGCTGTAAATAACAGGAGAATGAAGCTGAATTTAGGAAGAATAAAAAAAAGTTTTATCGTCAAGAGAAAGTTTTATAGTCAAGATGGATAAATGAAGAGAAGTCTGAGGGCAGGGGCAAAAGGCATACGTTTCTATGCATGTAAATCCTTCAAAATGATGACCTATCAATCATAAATGAGGAGAAACTGAGTCAGATTCTGTTTAAGGAGGAAGTTGTCCAAGAAGAAATGTTTTTGTGGTTGAATAAACAAATCTTTCTTATCTGGACTATTGATGTATGAAATTATTCATTCACCAATAATGTGAACAGAAGTGATATATTATAATAAACAATTACATAAGTTTGCATATATTTTTCTCTCTTTCATTTTCCTGATAAAGAATCAATAATTATACTCCTGATATGAGACGTGAGGATGTCGACTCTGTCATCCAGAAAGCTTTCCAAGTATGGAGTAATGTGACGCCCCTGAGATTCAGAAGGATTAACATAGGGGAGGCTGACATTATGATACGCTTTGCATTTGGAGGTAGAGAACTTGGACTTACTTCTTTTGTGTCGCTGACATGACCTGTATAGAAGGATTAATTTTCTTTCCTTCTTGTAAAGCTCATGGAGATTTTAATCCTTTTGATGGCAAAGGTGGAATCTTGGCCCATGCCTTTGGACCTGGGCCTGACATTGGAGGAGATACACACTTTGATGAGGCTGAAATCTGGACTAAAACCTACAAAGGTAGGCAAAAACATAAACAAAAACCAACAGGTACACACATAAAACCACAGGAAAATACCCTTGCAAATTCTAACTGATGTTCCAATATTGAAAGATTACATTCCACGTAAGGGTTATAAGATGGGAAAACTTGTTATGATTATAATTTTGTCACCTAATAAAAGTTATCACTGTGTCTTAATTTTACCCTTTACAAATCAAGGACATTGGATTAGATTATCTTAGAGATCACTTCTAAGATCTCAGGATGACTAGTTCATTAGTATGAACTCAAGAACCATAGCATGGAAAAGTAAAAGCTGTTATTTACATATCATTTTATGGTGTAGTGTATAAACTCAAGCCAACACAGATACCCTTTCTGTGTGTGCTGCTAACCTTAGGGCAGGATGACCATCAGCTTGATCCATCACATACTGACAATTGGTTAAATTCATGTTGACACAGAATGATAAAGAGAAGTTAGAGATCTCTGTAGAAAAATACAAGGTTGTATGGTTATGTGGTTGTCAGGGTATCATTTAATAAGGTTAAAACTAAGCCTGGACCCCTTGCCCAGTAGGAAGGTTTAGGAGGCTTGAGGAGATAAAAAGTAATTGATAAGGTTGCCATGGAAACCAGGCCATCAGCATGAACACTTCCATCATGAATGTGGAAGCAGGGCCAGGACATATTCTGCGTCAAAGGTCAATGCCCAAGACCAGACATCCCAGCACTAACCAGTCCACACTCCCTCCCTAGTCACGCAAAACCTACAAAACAGGTTATTAAAAAAAACCCCAAGTCCTTCAGGCACAGACTTCACCCTTCTTGCTGCTTCTCTTAGTAGTCTGTTTCAATACATCCGCCTTTTCTGTTCTCCACTATGTCTCCATAGTGGAGACACTATGTCTCCTTGTGTCCCTTGCCTCATCCTGCTATTTCTCCCAGTAGTTCCATGTAGGACTGGGATAAAAGTTTCAGAATACCCAATTGCGTGTGCATTTACAGAGGGTTGGTAACCCACTATCTCTTAAGACCACTGAGAGGTGGGGATAACTACTCTTCCCTGTTATTGGGACAGCTCTCTAGCCTCTGAAGAGTTTAAACCATCATAGCAGAAGTCTTCTAAATCTATACATTGGAAATTCTAGACTATATGACTGACTCATGGAAAGCAAATGAAGAGAAAGTCATCAAGAACAAGTTCCACTCAGCACCCTCTTCCTTCTGGGTGATACTGCATGCATTGAATAGCAATTTTTAAAAATTTTTACTAATTACTATATATTTTACATAACTGTTCATTTATGTACAATGTTTGCTTTCTCATCTCAGGTGTAGGCCCCGTCAAATTCCCTCCACCATTTCACAAGCGAACCATCCCTTGTTCTTTCCCTCCCCTGTCTTGATCCCTCCCCCTCTGCCTCTCTTGCAGAATGTCTCTGATTTATTTTTTTTCCCCTAATCTCTTATTTGGTTCCCCTATATTCCTCTTGTAAGTGAAACCATCTAATACTTTACTTTTCCCTTCTGACTTATTTCACTGAGCATATACAGACCACATCTTCTTGATGCAGCCATCTATTTTTGGACATTTGGGTTGTTTCCCTATCTTACCTATTGTAAATAGTGCTGCAATAAACATAGGGGTGCAGGTATCCTTTTGAATTAAGGTTTTTGTGTTCTTTGGGTAGATTCCTAAGAGTGGGATTTTTGGGTCATATGGTAGCTCCATTTTTAGTAGTTTGAGGAACCTCCAGACAGCTTTCCATAGTGGTTGGACCAGTTTGCACATCCACCAGCAATGTAGGAGAGTTCCTTTTTCTCCACATCCTCGCCAACATTTGTTGTTGCGTTTTTTTTTTTTTTTTTTTTAAATATGTGCCATTCTCACTGGTGTAAGGTGGTATCTTGTTGTGGTTTTGATTTGCATTTACCTGACATAAGTGATGTTAAACATTTTTTCATATACCAATTGGCCATTTGCATTTCCTCTTTGGAGAAGTGTCTTTTTAGCTCTTCTGCCCATTTTTGACTGGAGTGTTTACTTTCTTTTTATTGAGTCTCATCAGCTATTTGTAGATCTTTGTGATCAGTCCCTTATCAGTTGTATGGAGTGCAAAAATTTCCCCCAATCAGTAGGGTGTCTCTTTATTTGGGTTAATGTTTCTTTTGCTATAAAGAAGCTTTTTAGTTTGATGTAATTCCAGCTGTTTATCTTTTCTTTAACTTTCTTTGCTTTGGGGGATGAGTCTTTAAAGATGTTACTGCGATGTATGACATGTAGTGTTTTACCTATATTGTGTTCTACATAATTTTATGTTTTCAGGCCTTATGTTCAATTCTTTTATCCATTTTGAGTTGGTTTTTGTGTGTGGTGTGAAGTAGTAGTTCTACCTTCATTCTTTTGCATGTGGTGGTCCAGTTTTCCCAGCACCATTTATTAAACAAACTTGTTCCATTGCATATTCTTTGCTCCTTTGTCAAAGATTAGTTGTCTACATATGTGTGACTTTGTTTCTGGTTTCTCTATTTGATTCCACTGGTCTGTCTGTTTTTGTTCCAGTACCATATCTACTGAGTTTCTTTTATGGTGTTGAGTGTTTGAATACAGAGATGAAAAAGGCATAGTTCTGGCCCAGAAGAGCACACAATCTAGTGGAAAACAGAACCCAGACAACCTTCTCAAGAAAATTAATAAAGATATTTTGTGAAGAAATGAGAGTAGAGAAGATTAGAGATCATGTGGCTTCCTTGCAGTTGTGTAAGGAATAGACATAAAATGGTATATTTCTGTGAGTCATAGTACTTGGAACTTATTAAGGATAGTCATTAAATACTTTTCTATAGCTATTTAAGCCTGATCAAGGGAAAAAGCACAAAGAAGTCATGGAAATTGGATATGACTTAGAAGCAACTACAGAATACAGTTACGAGTTATGCTAAAAATGACAATATATTTCAGTTGCCTGCCCCAGCAATGGTCCTTAGCCAGTGGCAATTTTGCCTCCAAAGGCATATTTGACAATGATTGTCAAAACTGGGGGGAACTTCATCTTTGAACTTAACGGTAAAACCAGAGATTTCTAAATATCTATAATGCACAGGAAAACCCTGACAACGAAGAAATATCCGGCACATAGTGCCAACAGTAACAATGCTAAAAGACCTTGTGCAAGAGGGAGGGGTGAGTCATAAAGGGTTCCCAAGGATTTCCCTTGCCATTGTGCCAGGTGTTATGTCATTTGTCCTCTAGATGCCAATATATTTCAGTGTTCTTTCTCCTTATGGTTGGTTTCCTCACAGGTACAAACTTGTTCCTAGTTGCTGTTCATGAGCTTGGTCATTCCTTGGGTCTTGATCATTCCAAAGATCCAAAGGCCATAATGTTCCCCACCTATAGTTATGTTAACACCAACTCATTTCATCTGTCTACTGATGACATACGTGGCATCCAGTCTCTCTATGGTGAGTTAAATTTCTTGATCATTTTGCTTATGAAGATACTCATGAAAGGTCTCAGAATCTCTGCATTTGGATAAAATTTCAACATTTACACTGTGAGATAGGTAGGATATATATAATTTTCATTTTACAGATAAATAGATGATATCTAATATGCTAATGACAGAACCAAAGGCAGAACCTGAGTCTTCTTTCTAACCAACATACCACTGTCTGTTGAAGAAGGCACACAGAGAAATAACCTAACTGGGGCTAACCTAACAGGAAAAATCAGTGATCAGATTTTTCTCCTCCATGATGTTACAACCACACTGGGGAAAGAGCTTTATTGCATGTTTTCTGTGAATGTTTGAAAACTTGAAATTTTTAACCTATTTTTCATCAAGAAAATTGAATGTTTAAAGAAGAATAGTTTTCCCTTTTTTTCCTAATGCTTCTTAAAATATATTTTCAGGAGGCCCAGAGAAATACCATCCCTCACCAGGACTCGACAACACAGAATCAGTTACCTGTGACCCCAATTTGAGTTTTGATGCTATCACTACAGTGGATGATAAAATCTTTTACTTTAAAGACAGGTAGGATAATTTTTATATCTAATCAACAGTAAAGACTGACAGATTTTTTTTTTATTAGAGCATAGTGGAAAACAATGGAAAATGAAGTAAAATATAACTTGTGTAATGACTTGGGCTTGATTCTGAAGGCAGTGGATAAATCTTGTAGATTTTGAAGCAGGAGATTATTGTAATTATATTTGTGTTTTAATTAGAAAATTGGCATGTTCAAAATGGATTTTTGGTAGCAATCTGGGTTGGAGAAAGATAAGACAGGAAACAGAGAAGCCAGACAATTTTAATCATACATAAAAAATAGTGAAGTTTTGGATTAAAGCTATAACAGGACCTGTTCAAAAGACTTGGCAATTAATTATAGAGAAGAGAATTCTAGGATGACCTATAGGCAAGAGGTGAGGGGGTTGAGAGGATTCACCAGAAACAGAGTCAGGAGCAGAGTAGGTGGATCTACTAAAATACACTGCTAAGGGGAGCAGCAGGTGAGACAGAAGAGGTCTGCTGATCAAACTCAGGCTGTAGTGGTGAAAGTGCTAAGATTTAACCCCTAGGCCACCAGGGAGGCCCAGTTTCTGTTTTTGAATACAGATTGAAGCAAATATTTGAGAACATTACTATATAGTAGGTAGGCAAATATTCTCTATTTTTGAGATTATAAAACTGAGATAGTTGAGGGTAAGTGACTTCTTTAAGATTACAAAATTGGCAAATGGACTGTGGGACTTAACTAGAACCTAAATCTCTTAAGCCCAAGTTCTGATGATTTCCACATGCCATTTGCCTATTAAAATCATTGTTAGTATCAGGGACTCAAACAGAATCCTTTCCTTTCGGGATAGTTCTACACAGACATCCAGGGAACAGGAAGTGAAGATGATGTAAAGAAACATTAGTCATTTCACAGGTTCTTTCCATGCATGTTTCATGGTTCCTGAGTATTCGATGATTTAAAAATTTTTTTTTTTTATGTTTTTCATGTCAGGTTCTTCTGGTGGAAGCTTCCTGAGAGTCCAAAGAGCAATGCTAGGTTAATTTCTTCTTTATGGCCAACTTTACCATCAGGCATTCAAGCTGCTTATGAAATTGGAAACAAAAATGAAGTTTTTCTTTTTAAAGGTAATTCCAATTATTAGTTTTGCTATTAAGTTTACCTCAAGAAAGAGAACAAAGTAAGGAAATATTATTTCTTTTCTAAATATGGGCCACTAACCACTCCCTATTTTATTAATGGTAGCTCTGAAGTATAGTATAAAATCCTAGGTAACATATAAACTTTAGGGGAAAGTCTGTAAATATAAGATGGTAATACTTTAAAAAAAAAAAAAAACATACAGAACCATAGAGGATGGACCTTGTTTAAAAATAAGAAACAGTTACATTTTGGAAACATGGGAAAGAATGGAGTTGTCTGAAGTCAGTATCTCTCTACGACTCTTTCTGTGAGTTGTTTTTTTTTTTTAAAGATTTATTTATTTACTTATACAAGAACTGGGGTATAGGCTGGATGCATGGGAGGGTGAGTGGATTCACTAGAAACAGAGTGGGGAGCAGAACAGGCAGACTGATGAAATACACTGCTGAGGGGAGCAGAGGGTGAGACAGGAGAGGTCTGCTGCGCCTTGTGGGACCCTCGCTGGCTGGCCAAGATCGAACCAGCGCTGCAGAGGCTGCGGACAGCTTCACAGCACTGTGCTCAACTGCCTGCACCACCAGGAAAGGCCTTCTTTCTGTGGGATTTCAATGTACCCTTTTTTCTTTGTCCTCACAGATGATAAGTACTGGTTGATCAGAAATTTAATACCACAGTCAAACTATCCTAAGAGCATACATTCTTTGGGCTTCCCTGACTTTGTACAAAAAATTGATGCTGCTGTTTTTAACCCACTTTTCAATAAGACGTACTTCTTTGTAGATAACCAATATTGGAGGTGAGTTTTAATGGTTGGTAATTTTATTTCACCCTGAAGACTTATAAAAATGGAAGGGAATGGGATTTTCCAGAAGATAGTGTTTCATGCAAATTTTTAAAGCTCCATGACCTTCCTGGATCATTTGATCCAGAGAATATAGGACTGGAATATTTATCACCAACTTAGTTCTTTTCTGTATACTTTTTGTTTTTTATATGAGATAACACATAAAGTGTTTTTTTTAAGGAACACTTTAAATAAAATGTTACATATTAATTACAGTAGAAACACATTAGAAGGTAGTGTTATAGATGTAGGAGACCTAGAATTTACAGTCAGATTGAAGAAGATAACGATTTTTTTAAAGTTTCTTTCCATAACCATTGGGCCTAATGAGAAAAAAATGAGGAAACCATTCCCTAAGCAAGAGCAGATCCTGCAAAATCTTCACTAACAGCAAGTTAGGTTCTATAAAGCAGGTCTGGGCAGTGGTGGAAGCATCTTGAGAAGTGGGGAAAGTGCTTGAATAGAAGTCAGGAAGTCTAGTGTTTGAGTCCTATAGCAACATGGAGTAAATCTAGGTTCTTGGTTTGTCTATCAGTGCATTTGAATACTTTCAAGAAGAGCCTTTAAGGAAGGTATAAGGTTATGGTTCATGTCAAGAAATGTCAACCTTTATGTTATGAAAATCATTTTCTGACTGAATTCCTGCTGGTTGTTTCTTTGCTCAGGTATGATGAGACAAGACAAATCATGGACCCTAGTTATCCCAAATTGATTACCAGGAACTTCCTAGGCATTGGGCCTAAAATTGATGCAGTCTACTACTATAACAGTAAGTAGATTAGGAAACTGTGAATATACTGCAACTCCCTTCTTCAAACACTGAACTAATTATAACATAGCCAAGACCAAAGATTAGGGTTCTAAATTATGAAAGAAAAGGACTCTTCATTTCTCCATATGGCCACAGAAGGGAAAACACAGCATGTGTGCCTCAGAAAGGTGAGAAGAATGAGCCATGTGGCATCTATGCTGGTGGTCTGGTAGACCCAAAGGCCATTTCCATGGGTCTGTATGTTGGAATCTCCAATTATATCAATATGTGCATGTGAGTGAGTTTATGGCAGCCAGGATTCAGGCAAACTGGAATCTGTTCTACCATTTTATATCTCACATTCTTTGCCTTCCTTTCAGCCCCCTTCATATTTTATGGGCTCCCACGGAATAGAGCTGGTGGGGATATGAGAGTGGTGGGAGCAGAGAGAGAAGCTTGAGTGTGTAGGAGTTTGTGTTTGTCTTTAAGCAAGCTCAGCCTATGTATAATTATTGAGTAGGTCCAGATATCTTATTTCCAGCCCTTTTGTCTTTTTATCTCCCCCAGTGAAGTTTGTATCCCTACCTGGGCCCAATCTCCTCTCCCTACTCTGAGTTCTCTACTTGAGTGTGCCATTCCAAAACATTTGCATCTTAATAGTCAGCTTAAATCACTTAAGACCAAACAACCTTCTCAAGTAAAGTAAGGATGATATTTAATGGTGAAATAACTAGTAGTAGTCAGGGGGAAGACACCCAGCCAAAAGGACTAAATACTTACATTCTCAAATCAGACCTTGTTTAGTCTAGATAATCTATAAAAATACAGATCTCTGTCATTTTTTAAAAAGAAACACAAGTGTAGAATTAAACTGTTCAATTTGTTTTCATTTTTAGGACAGTACTATTTCTTTCAAGGATCTAACCAACTTGAATACGACGTCCTACATAATCGTGTCACCAAAATACGTGAGCTTGGTTGTTAGCGATTTAATGAATGGTGTTTTGCCAATTTACTTTGGCTTAATAAGTATGTATTGCTGACTTGATATGTGCCCAATGTACTTTTACATAGTGGTATGTATCATAAAATAATGCTTCAGGTCATAGGTAACTGATTATAAAAATAAATGATTCTATAAAACATAAGATTTTTCAAATTTTAAAAACTTATTGTCAATTTTTACTTATAGACACCTTCAAAGGTCAAGAGAATATTTTGATTTCTAATGTCAACTTGAAATATTGTATAATTATTTCTCTGGCTTAGCTACAAATAAAATAGTTCTACAACCATTAAATGTTTCAGCAAGGGTATTGTTTTCATCTTTTTGGAGTAAAAACAAAATCTTTCTAGAGCTTTATGAAATGACAATAAAAGCAATTATAAGGAAATTATATAATTACAATACTGTAATTTTATTCTGTTGTGCTGATTTCCTAACATCTTGTGTAAAGAAAAATTTGAAAGAAAGTTTTTGGCTTTTAAGAATGATTTACTGAATGGGCCTCCCCGGTGGCACAGCGGTTGAGCGCTGGCTTGCGAAGCTGTCCGCAGCCTCTGTGGTGCTGGTTCGATCCCCGGCTGCTCCCCGGCCACCGGAGGAGGGTCCCACATGGCACGCAAACCTCTCCTGCCGCCCGCTGCTCCCCTCAGCAGTGTGCTTTGGTCCTTCTGCCTGCTCTGCTCTCCGCTCTGGCTCTGGTGAATTCTCTCACCCTCTCGCGCTTCTGACTGTACCCAGTGCTTGTATAAATAAATAAATAAATCTTAAAAAAAAAATGATTTACTGAAAAAAAATAAATTTCAATAGAGAAGTATAGAATTGTAATTCAGCTACCTTCCTTCAAGTCCTTGAGTTTTCCAATGCAATCTGTATTATCTGAAGCTAGATATTTATTTCTTCATTTCTATTATGTCAATAAGAATAATATATAGGAGCACTAGTACAGAGAATGGCACTGGTTTGGTAATTTAAATTAGAATTTTGTAAGCATAATGAAGAACAAAGCAAATGAACAAACAAAACCAAAACAAACACTGGGAAGTGAGGGGTGTGAGCAAGGGTAAAGAGAGACTGATGGACTATAGTGGAGGGTCATTGGCAATTTGTTGGCTGGTAACGTACATTTAAGGAAGCATGAACCTATACTCTTTTTTTTAAGATTTTATTTTATATAATTCTAACATCATTTTTCATCTTTGCACAATGTATGCATTTTCATTGTGGTTATATTCCCCATACAAATGCACCCCCACTTATTTTGACTCTAGTCTTTCCTCTCCCTTCCCCTCCCTCCCTAACCTATACTCTTAAAAAATACAGTGTTGTAAATCAATGTTACTTCAAAAAAGTGAATGAAATAAAACCAACAACAAAAAGAATGTTTTCCTGAAAAATGGGTTGTATAGTTTGAAATTAACTCTGGTCCACTCCTAAATAAAACCAAGGGGTGAATAGAAACATGGCAAGTGGGGAAAGTAAAAGGTAATCATCTGTTTTGGCCTCCTAAAGTGACCTGAATTCTTGGTCTGAAGTCAAGGAAGCATTGTCCAGACTATATGCAACCCTGATAGAACCTACAGCAGATGACCAGCATCCTGGAGGGAAGGAGGTATGGAATGCGGTGTCATAAATAGTTGAGACGTAGGGAATCCATCTGGTGACTCTTTCTCCCTATGCTTGGACAATATTTGCACCACCTGTGCAACTTCACTGAGTTTGTGGAACTGAACAAATGTTATAAGTTTTCTGAGCGTCCATTTTTTTCATTTGTGAAATGGAGTTACTGATCTTAACCTTGCACAGTGGGTATAAAAATTAGTCCTCATATGTTACATGCTGGGTACATAGTACAGGATCAATGTGTAATGGCTTTCTCCTTTCCTAATGGACAGTTCTGAATATATTTTTGTTTGACCATATTATACACTTTTAGAAAACTGAGAGGCATGACTTACCTAATTAATATGTAAAAATAACAAAAGTTCAGGCCCCGATTCCATTCTTCTGACAATACAGTTTTAATGGAAAGCAAACTGCATACAACCCATTTCTGCTGGGACTGTGTGAATTACTTCTGTCTTGGTATACATCCAACCTTAATTTTAAATATTACTACAACACAGCACAAAAGATGGGTCCATAGTAACAAATCATGACCCAAAAAAAGAAGAGCGGTCTCAGTGCGGGCCTGAGCTTAGGACCATTACCACAGATTTGTGAGGGAAATAAGCATTACTGGTGATGAGTTTGTGAGAAAAATGTGAAGAAACCCAACTCCAGAAACCTAAACTCCGGAATTTAAGCAAAGAATAATGTGAATAGCAAAAGAAGAGGTCATTCAGCCAAGGGCTAATATCCCAAACTTTCATCTACTACAGAGATTTAAAAAGGACACAGGCAATTTTTCCAGTGAGAGAATAAATATATAAGGACAATGACTAAACCATAGATAAGAGTTCATCCTACTCAGGTCACCAATCCCCTTATTTTCAAAAATAACCAGGAAGCCAGCCAGCCAGCCAGTTACAAGCCAGACTTGTAGGAAGCTAGATTTTTTTTTTTTTTGAGAAAGTGACATTTTTTTTTATTTTATATATTTTTACATCGTTTTTCATTTTTGTACAATGTATGCATTTTCATCTTAGTTATAGTCCCTGTAAAATTCCCACCCCCCCTTGTTTTGAGCCTACTCTCTTCTCGCCCCCTGTAGTGTGTCTCTGGTTTATAGTTGCCTGTTGATTTTAATCTTTACTTTATTATAATTAGACTTTTTCCTGATCCCTTATTTAGATTTTCTAAATTCCTGCTATGAGTGAGACCATCCAGTATTTTTCTTTTTTTTTTCTGTCTTATTTCACTGAGAATTGATCCCTTCCAGTTCATTCTAGTGACTATTAAGGAAGCTAAGCAATAATTTCTGTGATAGTGAGCCCAAAATGGTCAGAGCTTGATTAGTAACTAAGAATCTCCAATGTTTGTCCTTGTTTTGATCAGACCAGTACCAATCAGAAAAAAACAAAACAAAACAAAAAAAAAAAACACCTAACATGGACCTTTAACCAGTAATGTAGGTCAAAATCAGGACCAGTTAAAAAAAAAAAAAAACTAATATACACCTCCAGACAGTAGCATAGGATGCCTTGTTTCTAGATAACCCACCTGCAGTTTTCCCATGTTAACAGCACAATAAGGATATCCTTCCCTTATTTCTAGTTTAAAGTTTCCCACTCCTCTGCCTCCTGGTGAGTCTCATCAAAACAGGGATGGTAGTTGACTCTTTAGCTACAGCAAGCTCTGGTCTTCATGTATTTCCATACCAGGCAAATATATGCCCAGCCAGGAAAGAAACTCAGTTCTAACTGTAAAGTAACTGTTTCAGTCCTATCCAATTGATAAAACTCCACGCCACACCACAACTTTTGTATCCCATCTGTCTTTTTCTATCTGTAACTCTTTTTACTCTATCAATTCTTTTTACTTAGATCTACAGTCCTCTAGCCTCCCTTTACAGCTGATTTGGATGACTATAAGCCATTCAGCATTGTTTTCTTCACACTTCACAAAAGACAGAAATGATAAGCTAGATTTCATTAAGTCAAAACCTGTTACCTGCCCCATGAGAGACAATGGCAAGAGAGTAAGACATATCACAAGCTTCAGGAAATTATTTGCAAAAAACACATCTGATAAAGGATTGTTACCCAGAATATACAAAGAGCTCTTAAAACTCAACAATAAGAAAACAAATATCCCAATTAAAAAAAATAAGCCAAGATCTTAACAAACACCTCACCAAAGAAGATACATAGATGGCAAGTAAGTACCTATAAAAGATGCTCTCTTGTCACATCTCATCAGGTAAATTCAAGTTAAAAATAAGAATTAGGTACCACTGCACATCTATTAGGATAGCCAAAGTCCAGAACACTACAGAATACTGGCGAGAATGTGGAACCTGAGCTCTCATTCACTTCTGGATGGAAATGCAAAAAAAGTCACAATCGCTTTGGAAGATAATTTCCTAAAGCATACTCTTACCAAAAGACCTAGCAACCATACTCTATGATACTTACCCAAAGGAATTGAAAACATCTCTACACAAAAAGATGCACATGAATGTTTAGAGCAACTTTATTCCTTTTTGTCAAAAACTTGTGAGCAATTAAAATACCTTCCATAGGTGAACAGATAAATAAACTGTGTTTCAATTTGCACTCCAAGTAGATCGAAATTTGAAAATTACACACACACATACTATACATGCATATATATGTAGCATATGTTATACATAATTTCATTATGTATAACTTTTTTTAAAAGGAGACATTGGCTAGTAACCATGGAAACAGTCTTTCCCAAACTTGCACTACAAAACAGAAAATGAAAAAGAAAAAAGATACAACACTGGAAATGAAGTTGCTATTTTTGAGTGAATTTTCCCACTGTTTAAAGGGATATTGAAGTCGTACTGGGGAAAAAAAAAGATTTGGAGGCCTATTTGTATCTTAGGAAACTTTGGAAACTGGTCACCTGAAATAATTAGAAAGATATTTTGCACCTCACAGAAACCAGAACATTTATTTCTCTATCAACTAGAAAACATTGAAACGATATCTCTACTCAATGGTGATTTTGGAAGCGAGGGAAAAATTGTGACCCTCCACTTTCATACCCATCCAAGCCCTCCCCAACAGGAAAGGCTGACAAAAGAGATGCTCAGACAAGCTAAAATAAGTACCTCCCCCTACTGAATCAGTTTTGGAAAAAAATTACTTATGATATACAATTGCCAAAGTCAACAATGGAGCTACCTCTACTCTCCTTGACAAAGCCAGTTTTCAAATAGGCAGGAGGCTTGTCTGGGGTTATTTTTGGTCCAAGTTATGCCTCACATGTGCTCCCCTTCTGCTCCTACTCTAATCTTCATCTGAGAATAAGTGTTTCTCAAACAGTATGTTTCAACTTTCAATCCAAAGGAAGGAACATGCTACCTGCTGGAGTATCACTAAGAACCTTAATTGATGTCACTGGGTTTGCACAGCCGGAATACTTGCCAAGAATATTACAAAATGTTTTCCTTCTTTCCATAAAATCAGAGTAGCCTGGAGTCCCATAAAGGCCACTGTCAGGGCAAAGGAATTTGAATGATGGGTTTCAACATTTTTACCACTTGTGCTGAGTGATTTGAGTCATGATGCTTTTACAAGTGAAGAAAGATGGAGCCAACCACGTGCAGATCTTATCTGTCCTTATTCCTTTTTTTCTTCCGGTTCATCTTTCAACTAAAAAGTTGCAAAGTTTGTGTGGCAAATAGGCATAAAAATTAACATAGATGATCAGTTGTCCACTATGAAAAAAAAGAGGGGAAAAAGTCCGTTAAGCAACATGTTTTATCCCACAGTTTAGAGGGAACATATCCCCTAATTCATACTTCTATCTGGCTTGTAAGATTCAGAATTTTGGAAAAAATAGATGACATTTTATTAGTTTCCCTTGGTCAGTATGATGTACAAAGGACCATACAGGTATTAAAAAACTAGATGGAAATACAGTGAAGTGTTAATGTTTTTCTACTTGTGGTAAGATTGTAAAGGATTCATTTTCTTCTTCATTTTTTTCTACATTCTAAATTTCTATAATAAAAATGTAAAGCTTTATTGAAAAATGTAAAATTTTATTTTAAATAGTTTGTAGGAACATGGCATCCCATCATCCACAGAAAAAAACTATCTACCATTGGCCTCCAACCATATTCCTACAACTTTTTCATTTTTCAGTACTCTCTTCACCCACTTTTCACTTCAATAAAAAATTAGCTTGTTATCATTTCCCACACACATTCTAAACACTCTTGATTCTGCATAGCTGTTTATTCTGCTCCTGGATTTTCTTCCATGCACACGTATCTGAGGCTTTACCTGGGGGCTTTTTCCAAACTAAACCCCTTTCCCTCTCATAATTCCTGCACAACTTCTTTCTTGATTCCCAATATAATTAATTACAACCAACATTCCTTTCATCTTTCTTCTTTCCTAGTTTCAAGTAGCTCTCCAGATTTCTCTTTTTAACTATTATCTCCAAATCTATGCCTTTATTTGCATATTCTGAAGCATTTAAGACTCAGACACTTGAGAAATGAATGTAACTGAAGGAACATATCAGCTGAAGGTAGTAAGGACCATCATTGTCTTGTCTGATTACTCACAGAAGGCACCATAAACAGGATGACAATGTATAAGTTATCAGATAGAATACGACTTGGACTCACTGTCAGCTTATCAGTCCAAGTTTTGATCAGGTTGAATGTAAGTTTAGTTCCAAGCCTCTAATCCTTAGAGGTGAGAGTTATAAAATCAGGCCTTATCTGTTTTTATATTTAATTTAATAATAAACTATTTAATTTCATATCATTTATACTATAGTTTCTATATGTAGCCATTAACAAATGATTTTGTGGAACACTTTCACTTCTAGACAAAGACTTCATTTTTCCCTAGTGTTCATAACTCCTCTACATTCCATGCACTTACTCTCACTTCCTCTTATTTCTCCCTTCTTTTCCCTTTCTCCTTCCCTCCCTTTCTTTCCTTCTCTTTCCCTTCCTTCTCTCATTTCTTCTTTCACTCAGATGCTTTATATATATTTCATGTCATTAAATGCATAGCTTTCTAAAATTTAATCTACAAAACAAAAATTCACTATCTCATTCATTGCCAGAAAACTCCTTGATTCTGCAATTTTAGTTTGGATACTAGACAAACACAGAAATGAGAATTTTGAGTATATAAGTCCTTCATATTTTTCTCTTATTATTAAAAAGAGTTAAGATGATAGCTTGACTCTTTGACTATTATATAGAAAACCTTGAAAAAATCAATTACTGGTGTATTTGGTAAATATAACATGAAAGATTTGGGAAATAAAAGACATCTGTATGACTTGTAAATTTTTTTCTCATGTTTGACTTTAATAATCTACATATTAATAAATTCTCTAAGCAATTCTTTGGGTATTGCTATATGTTAATATGAGAAGTACGAAATAAATGAGACACAGATCCTATTCTATAGAGATTTACAGTAATATGGGGGTGACAGGTAAGCAATTTATACTATAGTTTGGGGGGAATCAGCAACAGAGGCAGGTCCAAGATGCCATAAAAAGTAAATAATGAACTCTTTTTAGAAGGGAAGATCTTCCGGAGGCTCAGAGAAGTCACTTGATCTTTGTTTCAAGAGATGACAAACACAGAGGCAGACTTCTGTGTTTATTTCATGGGCAACGACTCATGTTTCCAATCTCATTTGAACAGTAGGGAAAATAAACATGACGTCTGTCAGACTTTCCTCTAAACAAAAAATATGTCTTATATGTTAGGACACCAGAGAACATTCACAAAGCAAAAACCTTAACCCAGAAGAAACTGACGTCCATGGCTGCCACAGCTCCTTTGCATCTGATCAAGACTTTTCTGCCTGACTCTCGTTCCTTGCTGGAATCATATCTGCCACAGACCCTGCTTCCACACCATCCCCTGAGCTATCAGTGAATAGATTACCCCCTGTTTCAATTAAGACACATATGTGTTTCTCCAAAGAAATGTAGAACATGAGTATTGACATGCCTCTTGGCAAAGTCAAGATTAAACACGGATCTCAAATTTCCTCCGCCAAGTGGTCTGAGGACCCAGACACCCTCAGGTACAGGGATGTAGGACCACTAGAAATCCCATTACATCTTTTATAGACATTGGGTGGAACTTGCCAATTTTATTAAGAAACAAATGAACAATAAGGAAATAAAAAATAAGGAAATGCAAGAAGGCTGCAAATGGGAGGGAGCAAAACTTACCCTTACTAAATGCTCCCTCGGTACACAGCATTTTATTCATCATTTTACTGAATTGTCCCAAAATGTTTTGCTCTCTAGTAAACAAATAAGCAACCCAACAAAGCATGGTGATGAATAAAAATGCTGTGCGCTCAGTGAACTTTTATTAAGTTCAAGTTGTGCTGCCTCCTATGTGTGTGCCTTTCACTATCATTTTTCTTTAATTCTTTTTTATTTCTTTATTTTTGTAAGGGTAAGGGAGGTGAGGTTGGTGGGGAAAGGTTGGTGGAGATGGAAAGGTGAGGAGAGGACTGTAAAAAATTTAATAAAGTTTCTTCTTCTGGGAATGTTTAGGGTTTTTCCCATAAGCACTTATTATACACAATTGATGTGAGCAACAAATTAAAGTGGGGGTGGGGGGACAGGAAGAGAGAGGAAAGGAAGGGAGAAAAGGGAAAAGATAAGATAAATAGGATAGGGTATTTAGGAGGAATTTTTTCCACTTCATACTTGAAAGTTTATACTAATTTAAATTTTGGGAGGAGGAAGAGATAGAGAAAGGCTAATAAAAGTATAGAAGATAAAGACAGAGTAGAATTTCAGTTCAGTGAGCAATGTAATTCAGTTCTATCCTACCAGTATTTATGGCACAGTTAGTATACATCTATCACCCATTAAAAATTTGACTACACTATACTTTTGTTGATTAAGATCAACAAAAAAGAATGGCTACACTTTTCTTCTTCATAGACAATCTTTATTTGAAACTGCCTGCCAGCTTTTCCTCCTTAAAGCCTAACAAATCTAACCAGAAAGCAAAAATTGGTTTTTTAAAATCAGAGTCCAAAAATTGAACCCTTCCTTCCAATTTTATTCTACTTATTATTTCATCTGTTTTTATAGAATCAATTAGTAAACACTGTAGTTACACAGGTACAGATTTTCACTTACTTACATATTATCACAGGTGATTTTAAAATATGTTCTTAAAACAAAACTGCATGCAGGGCCTCCCTGGTGGCACAAGGGGTTAAGACGCAACCTATGAAGCTATCTGTAGCCACTGCAGCAGGAGTTCGATTGCTGGCCAGGGAGCTACCCACATGGCACAGCAGATCTCTCCTGATTTACCCGCTGCTCCCCTCAGCAGTGTATTTCAGTCAATCTGCCTGTTCTGTTCCCCACAGTCTCTGGTGAATCCTCTCACGCCCCACACTTCTGGCCTGCACCCCAGTTCTTGTTTGCATAAATAAAAAATGAATCTTTAAAAAAAATAAAAAACAAAACTGCATGCAAAAGTTCTACATGATCCTGATTTTTTACCAAGTCAGTCCACTTTTCTTAAACACACAAACATAAACTGTCCAGTAAATTCCAGTAACTTAATTTTTCCAGAGGAAAAAAGAAAAAAAACTCCAGTTTTCTCCTTAGCAGGACAGGAAGCATTTCCTGGCGCTTAATCACTGTTCTGACTTGCAAAATTGGGACAGTTGAGAGAAATTAGTAAAGTAGGTTATATCGTCCTACTTTGGAGCTGGAATTTTTGGACATGGTCCTGCCATTCAGATGAAAGCAATCATGAGTCAAGCTGGGGCGGGGGGGGGGGGGGGTGGGGGTGTGTGTGAAGCAAATCAACATTGTCACCCTATAAAAGCTGCGTTTAGAGGGTGGACCTAGAAGGAGACAGGCAGAGAGCAAGGCATCAAGACAACATAGAGCTGAGTAATATCAGTGGAAATGAAGACTCTTCCAATTCTGCTAGTGCTGTGTACAGCGATGTGCTCAGCCTACCCACTGGCTGGAGGTGCAAGGGACCAGGACAGCACCATGGGCTTTGTTCAGGTAACTAAGGAGGTGGCCCTCACACTCCTTGACAGAGGCAAGTGGGAAACCAACTCTGTTTTCCATTATAAATCCCTCAGAATGGTTTGAGCTTACCTTGTAGGGATAGTTCAATGATGGGTTGTGTAGAGTCTCATTATCATGCTGTTCAGACACTGCCTTTCATACAAGAAGAAATGAAGGCAGTGCCTTTGCCTCAGATCACACAACAGCACAGTGGAGGCACATAGATAAAAGTACATAGATAATAGTGGATGGACCATGTCCAGTTTGGATAGAACTATTTGGGGTACTTTAGTTCAATGTTATTTTAGCTAGATATTTAAATTGCTAAGGTCATGTTTAGATGCAAGGATGTGCATATATATATATTTTTTTTTCTTAAGCCAGGTCTCAGCAAGAAACATAAAATGGACATGTGATGAAGTTGAATCAATGTACTATAAATACAGTTATTCCTACAGATGTTTGTCTGTTTTGCTTTTCTCCTTAAAATTCACTGGTTATTTATCTCAATTTCCACTTCATTTTCATTACTTTAGTAGTAAACTGCAGACATTATTTAGTTACAAAGGTACACTATGGTGAGAAGGCAACTATAATTGAAGAATTAAAATATAACATCTATTTTTATTTCAGCAAACTAGAGAAATACTTCAAATAGAGGCAGCAGGC